CGAGTTTGAATCCAGCTCAAAGAATAAGGAATGCACCGAGATGAATATTGCCACTAAACTACAAGGGCTAGGTGCATATTTATTTATTTAATAATATATAAAAATAATAAAAAAAATATTATTCCATATCACCACTTCAATCAAACCACTTCAATCATCCATTTCCTATTTTCAGAAAAACCACTTCAATCCAAGATGACCCATTCATTACTACGCGTGTAATGCGTCCAAATACGCAAACATGCTCTCCCCTAAAGATTTACACGAAATTCAACCTGTGTGGCTCGTAACACAATAGGAACAAAAACGCAACTCTATATAAATTTATAAAAGGGATAAAAGTTAAAGAGGAAAACATAAACATAAAAGAAATGAATAATGACTTAGCTTTTTTTGTTTTTTTATGGGACAGTTAATTGGTTAAGATCTTCGTAGAGGACCAGTGGGAAGAAGGAAGGATTCAAGCTTAATAGATGGAAAAATAAACGATTTTATGTTGATAATTTAATCAGATGCTTTAGGTATTTTCTTCAATAATAATTTAATCATAATATTTTGTATTTTATAATATTATTTTTTAATCTATATAAAAAAAACTTATTGAGAGATAGGCTCTTACTTTTATTAATAATTAAATAAAATATATAATTCCTATATGATAGCCTTTTAAAAAAAGCTTTTAAATAAGATCGAAGAAAATCTAATTGCAACCCACTACCGTAATGATAATATTAAAATTAAGACTTATTTATATAGTTAAACCAATCAAACTCTCAATCAAATTTTTTTTCCTAATTATTAATAAAAATGGTATTAAAGAAAAAGAAAATATGGAAAGAACCAGCATACCTCAACGAAGATGGATACACACAGGATCCATAACCTGCACAAAGAACCCACAAAAGACAAAATAAAAAAAAAAAAACAAAAACCCTTAAAACCAAATACAAGAAAAGAAGGAAAAGATGGTTCAGTTACAAACTGGGATCAGTTTTGGCTATGTTAGCGGTGCCGGCGAAGTCACAGGAACCAGGGGCCATGCCCTTGCGCTGGTAGTAGCTGTTGTAGGCGTAGGAGGCATGACCCTGGATGGTGTTGGGCAGATAACAGAGTCCATTGGGCCCTATTGGGGTGCAGTCGGCGCCGGAGCCACAGGCGTAGTCAAGTGCAGTCTGCAGAGCTTCGTTGCTTGCATCGCTCCGGGCGACGCACCAGGTTGCTGCTTGCGCAACCAGGACCGTGGATGACAACAGGAAAAGCAGAGACAATAGCCGTAGTACCAGTGCCATGGAGAAGAGAGTTATAGTGAGTAATGACTAGGCTTTGGTTGGTAAAGGAAGAGAGAGACTTCCAGTTAGAAGAGCATAAAGTAAAAGAGAAGGGAATGCAGGGCTCTTTCTCTTTCTTTGGTGTTTTTTTTTTTTTTTTCTTTTTTGGGTTTTCTTTTTAAATATTAGAAAAGTAAAAATTGAAATGAAGCACCTTTTTTTTTTCTTTTGAAGTTACTTAAATATTTATAATAATTTTAATTTTTTAAAGTTTTCTAATTTTATTATCATTAATTTTGATATCTTAATTGTTAAAATATGTAAATATTTTTAATAACTTTAACTTTCTATTTAGTTTTAAAAAAATTAAGTCAATTAAATTTTAATATTTAATAATATTATAATTTAATTAATTAAAAAATATTTCTTCTCCTCTTCTCCCTTCAACTCAAAGATATTTTAAACATTATACGAATGAAAATATTAGTTATTTTCATGAGGAAACAAATGATTCCATTACTAAGAAGAAGGTGAAAGCAACTTTTAAGCAGACAAGGGCACGACACACATCGATTATTATTGCCACTAAATCCCATTTAGACAAGCCGAAGCCTATCATTAGTATGTTTTCACAGCACTGTAACTATCATTTTCATACAAAAATTATAAGCTAGGATCTTTTGGCTTCAAATGTATATGCATAACTATTTAGTTTTTTGAATTTTAAAATTAAGTAAATTGACATAATTCTTGTATAATCTCAACAAATTAAAGCTATACACATGAAATGGAAATATCATTAAAATATGAAAACAAATAATTTTAAGTTTCTTTTTTTACTAAACTTATTGATATTTGAAAGTTAGATTAAATTTTAATTAATTCATAATCAAATTGAATCAAAATTTTAAAAGTAAATTTTTTCAGTGTCTGTTTCTTTATTAATTAAATTTAAATTTAAATTTTTATTTTTAAAAAATTAAGTTTTTTTCACTCAAAATAACATGTTATCTGTATAATTTAAGTTGCTTTCCAAACAGTAGAATTACAGGAAAGAAATTGAATGGTCCTTATCATCCATTCCATAATAAGAGAATTCATTACTGAGAAGGTGACTGGATTACTAAAGGGGAATTTAAAACGTGGCATCCATTGAATAGATTCTTTGGTTTATAAATAGATGGGGTCATAGAGGTTGACTGGACAAAAACATTGTTCTCATTGCCATTGTTTGTTTTCTAGTAAAATTCACATAAGTAGGAGCACTATGGCTAAGCTCCCTTGGCTTCGTTTCGCCCTCTTTCTCCTCGTTGTCTTTGCATTTGCCATCCCATCCCAACCTCATATGTATGTCTCTATATCTCTTACCTAACTTTTTGTTGATAATTATATATACTTATTATTTTAAGATTTCTAACTCATTTATTTTCTTATTATCTGACATTAACGTTGTATATATGGGTTTATGTCTTTTGTCTCACAAAGGAGAGGAGGGTATATATTCCCTAGGAATGAGGTTTTTCAATCTGAATTTGATTTTTTTTATTTCTTTTGGTTTGGACCACTCGGTATCCAAAAACTCACTAGATCATCAACTAATCTGAATTCGAGCCGTACATGACTTAACAGGCGGTAAAACTCTCCCTTACGAGTTTTAACGAAACTATATTTTCAAGATTTAAAATCAAAATTTTTAATTAAGTTAAAAAAATCCCTTACTAACTCATCCACCGGCCCTCGTGGTGGGTTCAATCTAAATTTGATTAGACAAGCATAACTTTATCCTTTTTAAATTAGTGAGACCTGCCAAATCCAAACTAGCAAAACATTTTTTGTATCTCTATTTTATAACGTATACTCAGATACAATTAAATGAAAATCAACAAGAATTAAATTAGTGATAAAAAAGGGTTGGATTGCAAGAAATTATTGACTTAACTAATACAATTTTTTTTTAGTTCACAGGCTGGTAAGGAAGGATCACTTCGATTGGAAGATAAAATATAAACCATCTTCACAACTTTTCTTTGGTATTAAATTCTTTTCTTTTAGAGATTAGTGTTATATTAGGTTATTATATATATATAAATATATTAGTGGTTATTAATCTATATGCTAAAAA